AACGCCGAGTCCGGTTGCAGGAGAACCGGGAGCGGCTGTCGGTGGGCAGTAAGCTGTGCTACGCCGTCGGGGGGGCCCCTTACCAGATCACGGGCTGTGCGCTCGGCTTCTTTCTTCAGATCTACCTCCTGGACGTGGCGCAGGTATGGCCGGGAAACGGGGCGGGGGGGGGAGACCGGGACCCGGGACCGGGGGGTCCCCGGTGCCGCTTTGCCCGGTGGGCGGGCGCGCCCGGGGCTTGCCGGTGCCCCGATCCCCGCTGGAAGCGGTGTACCTCGCTGGGATGCATATGGGGAAGGGGGGGGTATCAGTCACGCAGGAGTTGCGGTCCTGCGTGGGTCCGAGGGTCATGGGTTTCCGCCGGGCTGGCCCCACGCGTGGAGCCGTGCGGCCGCTCTGTGCCTCGGGCTACCCAGGTGATAAAAACGGGCCGACGGTGTCGGTCCTGTGGGATCTGTCCCGCGAACCCACAGTGTTTTGAGTCGGTGTGAAATAGAGAGGGAAGGCACGGGGAGAAGTGCCCGTGGGGCTCCCTTGTGCTGACTGCAGAGTGGGTTTTGGGAGCTCCACGCTGAGGTGTGGGAGTTTGGTGTGGAAAGAGCATGGTGGGACATCACCGGGAGGGACTGGGTCACCGTGCCTCAAATCCCACTGAATGAAGGGGAGAGGCTGATGGACTGGTCCCCTGCTCCCAAATGGTGACAGGGCCACAGAACAGTTGGGAAGGTCTCGAGGAGCTCAGGAAGGGCAGCTGGGGGCACGGGGGTTTGCATGTCCTGACACAAGATCTTCTCCTGGCAGCTGGACCCTTTCTACGCCTCCATCATCCTGTTTGTGGGGCGAGCCTGGGATGCCATCACAGACCCCATGGTGGGCTTCTTCATCAGCAAAACATCATGGACCCGCTTTGGCCGCCTGATGCCCTGGTAAGAGCCGCCTGTAGCACCCCACATCCCCACCTGATGAGTCACAGCGCTCCCAGTCAGCTTTGGGTCTCCATTGGCATGAGGTTTGCAGTGCAGGATGTGCTGATGCTCTATCTCACCCAGGTGAGATGCCAAGTTCTCCAAAAAGCCCAAGGTGCTGCCAGCAGCTGGGGCTTCAAGTCTGTGCCTGTTACTCTGACTGGTTCCAAACCATCCCCGCATGAGGTGGTCCTGGCTGTCCTCCATGTCACTGCACCTGCAGCAGCTCCAGCCTCCCTGAGAGCTGCTCCCATGCTGGACTTTGTTCCTGTGGCGTTTGCTAAGCCCTGGCCGATGGCAGGGCCATGTTGCCAGCAGAGCAGGTGGCATCACACCCATAGGGAGGAGGGACGGGGGTGTGTGCAGTTGATGCGCGGTGGTGGGGTGCCGGCTGACAGTCACGAGGATGCTCTTCTGGCAGGAAAACAGCTGTCATGGATCTGGGTGTCTGCTGCAGGCGCTCCTGCTGCCCTTGGGAGCAGGGTGCTGAGCGAAGGGGTGCAGAAGGGAGTTGGAGGAGATGGGACGGGGTTTGCAGAGCCCCAAAGGGCTCAATGCCTGCACTGAGGGCAGAGTTAGGACATCCGTAAACACCTGGCCCTGTGCGGGACACGGGGCGTTGCAGCGTGCTAATGCCTAAGTGCGGACATGGTGGCATGTCGTGGTGCTAAAATAACCCACATCCTGGGAGCTTGCGGGATTGCTGAAATACAATGCAGCCGAGAGGGTGGGCATGGGGGGGGAGTGGAATTAGAGGGATGCCGTCCTTTCCCCCGCAGATTATACCCTCTGCTTCCAGCCTTTCCTGGAATAGCTCTGGGCAGTGGCAGTCGGCTGTTGTTAAAGCCAGGCTCCACGCATGGCCTGAAATAGTTTTTCTACAGCCGCACATGTGGCAGGGTCTGGGGTCCGGAGATTAGAGCAAGGCTGCCTGCGCGGAGCCGCCTGGGCGTGCAGGCAGGGCTGTGCAGGATAGCCGTGTGCTCGGATGGTCACCACGGCTCCACTCTCTGTAATTTCTCATCTTCGAGGCAGGGTGGGGGGATTGAAGCAGCTGCATTCCTCCAAACGGCTCCTGCTTCGTTAAAATTAGCCAGAGCTTTTGACTTGCGCTGGGGCAGCCGGCTGCGAGGAGCTTGCCGCTATTGTACATGGCTCAAAGGCAACCTGCCGAGTCCAATTTGGATGCAGTCGAGCTGAGTTTAAACCTCCTGAACTCGGGGTTCGTCGCCTGTGTGGGGGCTGCTCAGCCCCAGGCTGGTGTGGCTGCAGAGCTGCTTGCTGCTGCCTCAGTTTCCCTGTGTGCAAAGCCAGGAGCTGCAGGCACTGCGGGGTGATCTCTGAGGCTGCTGCCTGACCCCAACCCTCAGCACCCGTGAGGTGACTCTGTGTAACTCCCCTGTGTGCGAGGGTTTATTGCCCAAAGTTTCTGCTGGGCTCTGAAGTGTCTAATCTGCGAGGCCAAGCCCCAGCCGGCTGCCGGCAGTTCTAGCTTGGCTCTAGCTCAAAGCTTGGGGCTGCTCCGGCTCCTCGGGAGAGGAGACCTTCCCTGAGTGCTGTCACCGTTTCAGTTCTTTCTTTTTGAAACACTTTTTGGGCACATTTTGTCCCAGCAGCTCATCCACCAGCTGCCTCCTCCTCTCCCCCCAGCCTCAGCGACCCCACTCTGTCCCCAGCCCTGAGCAGATCCCCGTTTCTTTGATCACCCCAGACTTCCTGGTGACTAAACTTTTCCTTGATGTGTTGGTGACTGAAGAGCCCCAGCTTTGACCTTCCTTCTTCGGGGCAGCAGCCGTTTGCAAACAGTTAACCGCCAGGCTGGGAAGGGGTGTGCAAGCCATGGCACAAAGGAACACACCATCGCGCTGCGGCCAATGAGCGGGCGAGCGCGTCACGGCGGCGGCCTCCTCCGAGAGCGTCTTAATCACCTCGGCCTCGGTCAGGGGTAACTCTCAGTCACTTCTCTGCAATTGCCAGGAGCTGTGGGTCAGCCTTGGCCAGGGCTCAGCACCCCGGTCCCGGTGCCAGGGTGGGCCCGCGGGGGATTGCCGCATCTGACGCGCAACATGCTGGCACCCAGCGTGAGCGTGACGTGGTTCCCGCCGCGCGGCTGCCGTGACTCATTTAAAATTTCCCTTGGCTCCACGTATGCATGTGGCGATAAGCGCACGGCAGAGGAGTGGCTGGAGCTGGCTCGCCCCTTTCCTCCCCCTTGCCGGGTGACGTGCTCATGGAAAAATGTGCATGTGTTGGGTCCTGTGCAATTCCTCTGCCGGCTCTCCATCCATGGAGATTTGGTTTCTCATTCTCCTCCCCCATCCCCCCCAACTTTAAATTTAAACTTTGCGTCCTGTACGTCAGCCCGGACGGAAAGATTTCGCTGTACCCTGGCAGCAGAGCGGCGGAGGGCCAGGGCTGACCATGTGTGGCTGTGTCCCATGTCCGGTTCTGCTGGCTTCGTTCCAGGATGCAGCCCCTGTCCAGTATTTTGTGGACTGCAGGGTGCTTGCAAATCCCCAGGCAAAATCAGTCTCCTAAACAGATGTGGAAATAACCTTAATACCTGGCTTGCATCCCTCCAGGAGGAGGAATTCCTCCTGTGCCTTCCCAAGTGATGGAGGATCTGGGTATTCGTGGTGTCTTTGGACTGCTGGTGCAGGGTAGAGCTGTTCCCTGTCTGGGTTGTAGCAGAAGGGTTATGAGATGCGCTGGATGAAGCAGAGAGATGCTCTGGGTGGCTTCCCGCTGTGATCACCCTCACCAGCCAGTCCTGCTGGGACTGCTGCCAAGGCCCAGCGCTTGAGCAATTCCCTCTGATCCTCTGTTGTGCTTTGCGTCCCATGTCCCTGTGCCCACAGCTCTGGGGGCAGGGGTGGAAGAAGGAGCCAGCCTGCCGCTGGCTGGTGGTTTGCCCCATCCCTGCCAGTAAAATGGAGGTGACCCCGGGACCAGGGCTTGGAGGGGGGGCTGGCAGCAAAGCCAAGCTGGTGAGAGGCATTTGGCTGCTGAGCTGCTTGGCTGTGCTACCTGGCTGGTCCCCAGCCCTTGCCAGGATGAGGGAGGTGATTACACACTGCTGAACACACAGCAGTGCTGCCTGGGGGACAGGTTGGGGCCAGGGATGGAAGCCAAAGGCAGGAGCAGATCAATCACTTCCATCAAAGTAGGGATGTCTGTTTTTGCAAATAAAGCTCTTCTCTGGAAGTCTGAGTCAGCTCTTCCACTTCCCATCCTGTAAGACCTGAGCTGCTGCCTTCAGCCCAGTGGTCTGAATCACCCCTGTGGCAACCACCTCTTGTCCAAGTGTTGGAGCAGGGTGGGCCACCCCTGGGGCAGCTCAGGAGTCCCCAAAATCAGATGCCTGAAGCTCACTGGACTTGTGGCAGCAGGGAGAGCTGGGCCGGTGGGGTTACCCAAGCGCTGTGTGCTTGCGAGGCTAACACTGTGTCTTCCCAAAGGATCATCTTCTCCACCCCATTTGCCGTCATCTCCTACTTCCTCATCTGGTTTGTGCCGGACATCTCCAGAGGCCAAGTGATGTGGTACCTCGTCTTCTACTGCATCTTCCAGACTCTTGTGACGGTGAGTTGGGCTCTGCACACACCAGGGCTGGTGGGTGAGGGATGGAGAGGACAAATCACTGCCTTTACCTCGCTGAGCTATGCAGAGGGGCAGGTTCCCATCCCTGAGCTAATTCCCCTTGTGCCATTGCAGTGCTTCCACGTGCCCTACTCAGCGCTGACCATGTTCATCAGCAGGGAGCAGAGTGAGCGGGACTCGGCCACTGCCTACCGTAAGAGTATTTCCTTCCCTTCCTTGACGTGGATGGGGGGCAGCCGGTGCTCAGCTCTTGCTGCAGCTCTTGCTGGGGCATGATCCTCCTCCAGATGCCTTGCTGAAAAGGCTTGGCATCCCCAAGCATGGTGTGTGGTGAACATTGTTCAGGGCTTGAATTGCAGCTGGTCAAGCTCTTCCCATTCCTCTTCCCTGGCTCCTCCAGCAGACATCCTTGTCTAATCCAGCGAGAGCTGGGCTGATGGGGAGGTGGTCCCTGTTATGGCCAAGTGCCTGGAGCAGATGATGGGGGATCTGGGCTCCTGTGTCTTTCCTTCTGCTCTGTCATACAGCAGTGGGAGCAGCATGACCAAGTCTTGGCCTCTCTCCCTGCCTCAGTTTCCCCAGCAGACACTCTCTTTCCCTGTGGCTTTACCTCTTGGTGATTTGGAGGGAGCTGTAGGAGAGCTGAGCTGGCTCATTTCTCCTGGTGAAGGGGAATGAATAGCAGCTGGGGAGGCTCTGCTGTGGAGAAGGGTTTTGCACCCATGCCCTGGGTGCCCAAGGGCTGTGCTCAGTCCCGCTGGCCTCTCCCTCCAGGCATGACGGTGGAAGTGCTGGGCACTGTGCTGGGCACTGCCATCCAGGGCCAGATTGTGGGCAAGGTGGTTACTCCCTGCATCGAGAGCCCCCTCTTCATCGGCAAGACCAACTCCTCGGTGGCCATGGAGGAGCTAAACATGACCCATGACACTGGGTCACTCACAGACACGGTAAGCCGGGGGACGTGCTCGCAGCCCCTGTCCCACTCTCCTTGCCTTTTTTATCGGGCTGGCTCCTGGGATGAGCCCCCTCCCTCACCACTCCCCTCCCTTGCACAGAGAAATGCCTACATGATTGCTGCGGGGGTCATCGGGGGACTCTACATCCTCTGCGCCCTGATCCTGTCGGTGGGCGTGCGGGAGAAGAGAGGTGAGGCTTGAGACATGCTGGAATACTCTGATCTTGTGGAAATGCTGTAGCTCCTGCCAGGGGCTTCCCAGGACCCTGGCTGAGCTCTTGGGCCCTCAATTGTGGGTCAAGCCCCAGAGAGGGGCAGGTAGAGCTGAGGTCTGGGTACAGGGGCATGGGGAAGGCGCTGCAGAAGGGCAGCACTGTGGGCAGGAGGCCAGAGCATCCCCAGGGTACGTTACAGCACAGCCCTGAGGACTTAGCTCTCTGCTCTGCACTGTCAGAGATAAATGTTATCTTGCACAGTTTTGGCTGGCCAAGGTTGCTAGTGCCAGCTAGGGCATCCCGGGGTGAGGTGATATCCAAAGTCCAGTAGTTCCTGTCCTTCCCTCTCTGCTTTGCGACCAGCTCTGCTTATCCTGGGTGAATCTACCAGGCCATCCTCTTCCCTCCGTGGGGCTGAGGGACCCCTGCGTGAGGGCAGGGGTGTCCCTGCAGGCATTACCCTCACTCCTTTGAGGTGGGATGCTGTAGGTGGGCAGGGGCTTGTGCAGGGTGCTCAGCAGCAGGCGTGAGGCACTGCATCCCTTGCACCCAAGGGTGCTGTTTCAGCGGGTCTAACGATGGGCTGATTTGCTCTGCTCCCCAGAGTCCTCTGAGCTCCAGTCGGATGAGCCTGTCTCCTTCTTCCAGGGGCTGAAGCTGGTGATGAACCACAGTGCCTACATCAAACTCATCGCCGGCTTCCTCTTCACCTCGCTAGCCTTCATGGTAAGCACAGCCGGGCTTGAAGGATTGGGGAGAGGGAACGGCAGCAGAACAGCTTGGAGATAGCTGGGGGACAAGCAGCGTAGGGCCCAAAAAGGATCCCAGCGGGCTGGGAGCATGTGAGGTGGCAGCTCAATGAGCCGGAGCTGCCCCAGGCAGAGAGGAAGGATGCGGCCTCGTGGCCTCGGATGGGTCGGTGAATGGCTGCTTTCTTTCCCTGCTTATGCTTTGGGTGCAGCCTTGCGAGGAGGAGCACATCCCTCCAGCATGGCTGGGGTGTCTGTGTCCCCCCCCCAACCACTGTTTGCCTTCTCTGCAGCTGCTGGAGGGTAACTTTGCCCTCTTCTGCACCTACACCCTGGGCTTCCGCAATGAGTTCCAGAACATCCTCCTGGCCATCATGGTGCGTATAGCCCTGTCCTGGAGCCCCTCGGGGCCGGGACTGCGGTGGGATGCTTGCTGTGGGATCCTGTGGGTCCTCCCCAGGAGCTGGCATGGGATGGGTTCTCTGTGGGCTGAGGGGAAGGGAGGCTGTGGGGTTGCGATGGTCTGCTGTGGGGACAGTGACCGAAGGTCCCCTGGGAGGAGGAGGGGGAGAGGAGCTGCCAAATGTCCTGCAAAGGCCAGGCGGGTTGGCAGGAACAGCAAGGCCTTTGTTCCTGTGTGAAGGCAGCCAGAGATGGGGGAGACCAGGAGCCGTGGGGGCCTTTTGTCCAAATCCTGCCACTATCTCCCTTCCCCCCCGCCTCGAGAAAAAGATCTCAGTGTTTACTGCCAGGAAGATGGAGCAAAACAGCTCCTTGAGAGCCCTTTCCAGCTTGCCTCATCCCTGGGAGCCCTTCCCACCCTTCCTGCTCAATGGGGTGGAGAGGTCCAAGGTGCCAAGGTCCCCACAGAGCCTGGCTCTCGGCCATGCTGTGTGCGGGCAGCAGTGACAAGTTCAGGTCCTTTCCCGGCACTGAGGATCAAGTCTGGTCCTCCCCTTGTTGGGGCAGGTGTGCTGGCACCTGATGGGTGCCCTGAGGCTGGTGGTGCCGGGTGCCGTGCCAGCGTGCTGTTCACCAGGGAAGGAGGTGGCCCCATACACCCGCTCCAATTACAAGCTCTCCTTCCTGGGAGTGGAGGCAGGCGAGGGATGGGATGAGGGCAGGAGCAGGCAGCGTGGCTGCGTGCCAGCCCTGGGAGCGTGTGGAAATCGGAGGTGCTGGAAAAAGCTGGAAATGTGATGGAGGAGGCCGTGCCCAGGAGCTGCTTGCTGGGCAGAGCTTTTCCCCCAGAGAAGAGCCTGGCCAGCAAGTGACACCATGACCCTCTTCTCTTCCCATAGCTCTCGGCCACCTTGACCATTCCCCTCTGGCAGTGGTTCCTTACCCGCTTTGGGAAGAAGACGGCTGTCTACGTGGGCATGTCGGTGAGTGGGTCCCCTCGAGCGCAGAGATGCATGTGAGGATGGTGTTTCCCACATGGGATGAGCAGAGCTGTGCCCCCCTGGAGAGGACCTGGAGCTGAGCAGGGGCAGCTGATGATGATGATTTGGTGCCTGTCCCTCATCCTGCTATTTGTGCTGTCATGGATGTGGCCAAGGCCAGCAGAAATGGCTGCTGCGGGGCTCTGGGAGGAAGGCTGCACTGCTGCTTCCCTGGCCATCCCTGTGGTTGGAGGGCTGGCATGCACGGGAGGGAAGGGGAAAGGCCAAGGAGTCTGGGTCAGGCACTGCTGACACAACCTGGTTTCTGTCCCCTATCCAGTCTGCCATCCCATTCCTCATCATGGTGGCCGTCCTGGACAGTAACCTCATCATCACCTACATCGTGGCTGTTGCAGCTGGGATCAGTGTCGCTGCTGCCTTCCTCCTGCCCTGGTGAGTGTGAGGTCCTGGTGCTCTCAGCACTGCACCCTGAGAGCTGGGCAAGGTGCTTCCAGGGCCTGCTGGAGTGGTTAGAAATCCTTGGGAGGCCTTTTCGTGATGTTTTCAGCCCAAGATGGGGCTCTTGAAGGGAAATCCTCTCAGCAGGGAGAGGAGATGCTTTGTTGGCTCAGTCCTAGTGTTCACCATCCCGTTCTCCACGCAGGTCCATGCTCCCAGATGTCATAGATGACTTCAAGCTGCAGCACCCCAACTCCCATGGCCATGAAGCCATCTTCTTCTCCTTCTATGTCTTCTTCACCAAGTTCACCTCTGGGGTCTCCCTGGGCATCTCCACACTCAGCTTAGAGTGAGTTTTTGCGTGGGAGCTGAGGAGGAGGGAGGGAGGCAGGCCAGCCTGATGCCTCCGCATCCAGGCATCTCTGCTTCCCAAGGGCTGGGAGGGAGGTGCGGGGTCTAAATCCAGCTGTGGGTCCACGAACCTCTCCCCGCAGGGACAGGTTTGCCTCCTAGAAACTCCTTCGCCTGAAGGTCCCTTTCTGTCCACAGCTTTGCAGGGTACCAGACCCGGGGCTGCTCCCAGCCCAACGATGTGAACTTCACCCTGAAGATGCTGGTGTCGGCTGTGCCGGTGGCGCTGATCCTGCTGGGGCTGCTCCTGTTCAAGCTATACCCCATTGATGAGGAGAAGCGGAGGAAAAACAAGAAAGCCCTGCAGGACTTAAGGTGAGTGTCAGCTTGTGCTACGGAGGTAGGAAGCACACGGTGTGCCAGCAGGGTGTGTGGGAGCAGGATCAGGCCCAGACAGGTTGGGACACACTGTGACTTGTCCAGGAATCCTCCAAGCCCTGTGGATGGTGGGGTGAGGAAGGGCTGGCTTGTTTTCCCAATCCCAGCTTCCAAAAAGATGGCGTAAAGTGTTTGAGATCAACAGGGAAGCCGCCCCAATTGCTAAAGAAAACTCATTTAGGGACTGCGCAAGGTGGTGCCATCCCTCTCAAGCCCTTCGGCGGCTCCAAGGCAGAGGTCTGCTCGGTGGCAAGCCTTGCTCCATGGCTCACTCCCTGCCTTCTCCCCAACCCTTTGCTCCCAGGGAGGAGAGCAACAGCAGCTCAGAGTCGGACAACACAGAACTGGCCAGCATCGTGTGACCCCGGGCTGGGTCTGTCCGCTCACACTGGGGCTCTCCGAAGGACTCGGCCCCTCCAGGACTGGACCAGCCTCGTGCTGCTGTAGATGTGCACTGTCAAGGAGCGCCTGGGAGAAGCCGTGCAGAGCATCTACCAACTCGAACGTGAGATCTGTGCCAGTCTTGTGCCTTCCATGGGACCCACAGAGCGCTGGTAGTGTACATTACACAAATTGACGCTGTGGTACCTGTGTGCCTCATGAGAAACAAATGCTATTCCCTGCCGGGTCCCGGAGAGCAAAAAGCCCAAAGCGGGATCCTTTTGCTTGTAACACTCATGCCCGCTGCCCGTCTGTGCCCAGCCTGTGCGGGGCTAATTGCCTGTGGGACCGGGGGTAATGGTTAGTGTACATTACACTGTCAATGTGACCGCGGCAAGGACGTGAGCTCACCTCTGCTGTCTGTACATATGACACTAATGTGGAAAGCTGTTCTTTTTTTATAGAGCCTAATTAACTTAATGATGTAAATATGAAACTATTTCCTATTTGTATATATCTGTACAGAAACCAAACTTGAGGAGCTATTAATATTAATTTACATAAAAGTGGGAGAAGTCAGCAGTGTGAGTGTGGAGGATTTTTTTGTTTGGCTGTTTTTTTTGTGGGTGTCGGCAAGCCCAGGGTCCCTTTACACACCATGGGGTGCAGGATTGACTTCCCCTGAGCCGAAGGCACAGGAATGCCATAATCCAGGCAGGCGGCTGTGCCCGGCAGCCCCTTACCCCTGTGCGGCTCCTTGCTTGATGTCTGTGCCGCAGTGACCCAACAAAGGCTCTATTATTTTCTTCCTTTCAAGAGGGAATGGGGGTGGAGGGAGGAATGAAATCAAAGTGCTGGCTGCAGAGATTGTGAACCCAGGGCTGGGAACAGGAGGGGCAGCTGGGGAGTGGAGAGAAAGGGAATGTGGGCTGTGGGTGACACTCAACACTTTCTCCCAGGGCAGAGTGCTGTGCAAGCGCTAATCTTCGTGGATATTTATACCTTGCTTTCACATTCCCCTCTCCGCAGCAGAAATGGGGAGAGCCCTGGCCTCCCTGCTCAGCAGGAGCACTGTGCTCCTGCAACAGCAAGTGTAATGCAGAGGGGAGAAGCAGGCTGGAGTAAGCACAAGGAGGATGCACCAGAGATGAAGCAGCCTCCCACACAATTGGGGCAAATGGCCAGTGTGAGGGGACTGTGCTATCTCTGCTGTTCCCCATGGCCGCTGTGCTGGGGGACAGGGCTGTTGCCTTTTGTTAAGCACATTTGTCACACCAAGAAAGTTGTGGGGTCAGTGCCTGAATTGAGAGCAGCGCCTCTGTGCAGGGGGGCTCAGGGGAAGGATGGCTCATTCTTTGTTCCACATTTGGGTACAAAGGAGTGGAACGAGGATGGGGTTTTAAAAATAGGCAGAGGGATTAGACCTTAGCTGGGAGTGCTTAACTGGGGCCCCACTCTGCCACTGTGGCATGGGTCATGGAAAGAAGCAAAAGGGATGATGCAAGGTGGGTGGGAGCTGGCTTTGTGCTGAGCAGAGGGCAAGAGGCAGCGTTAGCCATGGCCTGGGTGCCCCCTGCTCCCCCAGGGATGGAGCTTGCAGCAAAGGAGCAAGGGCAGGACAAAACAAGGGGGACAAAGCCAGTGCTCTCTGAAGCCCCTGTGGCAGAGCAGGTGGGTGCCATGCGCACCCTCTGTGAGAGGAGGAGGAGGGCAGTGCTCCAGCCATGCACAGAGCTTGAGACTTGCAAATATACTGACCCCTGTCCTGCTCCTGGCTGGGTTTGCGAAGAGTCATCCTGACCATTGCTATGACCTGGCTGCCTCCAAGGGGTGTGGGCAGCACTGCTGTCTCCAAGGATTTGAAAGATTGCTGCTAGCTTTTTCTTTTCAGAGTTTCAACAGAGATCAGGGACATTTTATTCTTTGCCTCCTCTTTTTTGGCTCTGTGGGGTTCAGAAGTCTCTGAGTTTTTTTGCAGCCAGCTCAAGAGACTAAAACCATACTGAGCTTGAACCAGGGCCTAGACATTCCTAGCTGAGCACACCTCTTCTATTTGAGGCTTTTAAGAAAAGAGACTGGGGCGGGGGAAATGACCATGGGAGTTGATAGCACTGAGCCCTGGGCAAAAGTCCAGCCTTGAAGTAGGGACCATGTCTTGCTTCAGTCATGATTACAGAGACCTTTCACTCCAAGCATGAAGAAAGTCTTTCTGGCATGGGAAGTCTGCCCAGCCAGAAATGCATGGGGAGATGCTGCCAGCACCTACAGCTGGCCTCCAGTAGCAGCTGTAGAATGGCTTAATCCACACTAACCTTGATGATGAAGCAAATGCACCCAAGCACCCAGGAAGAACCTCCTTGCAGAGCTGGAGTTACATGGCTGCTGCGTCCTCTGCACCAGCTGGGTGAGCCATGAGTCGGGACTGATGTATGGGCAGTGCTGGCCTTGTAAAATCAAAGCTAGAACATGGAAAATACAGGGTGTCAGCTGTGTGCTCAGCACCTGCTGAGCTGATGCCTGTAACGGCATATGGGCTGCGGCTGTGCTGCCCAGAAACCATATGTGGGTGCTGGGAATCAGCCCTCATTCCCAGCTGATGGGCTTTAACAGGCTACTTGACCACTTGGGGCAGGGGTTAGCCATCTGGTGCGAGGGGCTTGGGGAGCCTCCCCCTGAACTTGGGGGGTACTGCTGCCCATGCTGGAAGGAAGCAGAAGGCTTCTTGGGGCTTGTTGGTCCCCAGGTTGTCTGGTCCCTTTTGTTCACAAGGGAAAGAGCCTTTCGTTGTACATCGGTGAAGGTGCATGTGAGCAGTGGGGCTTGTAGAAAGAGCCTGGCAGGGGTACAGGCCCATATCCCAGCACCCAGGGCTTGCTCAGCAGGGAGGGCAGGCTGCTGCAGGCACTCCTCTCTCCACTGATACTCACTGGAGTATGTTAGTGCACCCTGTACCCTTCCCAGGGCCTCTGGTCAAGCTGCAAGGCTCACCTTGAGCCCTGGGGAAACCTGCTGGGTGCTAGCTCCCAGTGCACATGGCTGAGCCCAGACTGGTGGGCAGCTCTGCCTCTTTTGCAGCACAAAGCTGTCAGAGGAGCATTTCAGGAGGATGCTGCCCTGGTCACACCACAGGGCAGCACCGAGGTGAACCAGTGAGATGCCATCGGGGCTGGATGTGCCAGGGGGAAGGTGGAGAGGGGGCTGGGAGGTGATGGGGCACAGGCAGATGTTCACCTTAACTGCAGGGCACTTGTCCTGGCAGGTGACTGCAGAGGGGACAAAACCAAGCAAACATCAGTCGTAGCCTCCAAAGGGCAGCACATGAACCTGCAAAATTGGACTTACATCCTCTGTTTGTCACCGAAGGTGGCTTTGCCAAGAGACTGGTCCCCTCCTGGCTGAGGCACACAGAAGCAGCAGGAGTGACTGGAGGGACAGTCCCTGGGGTAAAAGAGGCCACACTGTGTCTGTTTACAGGGAATAAGTGGAAGTGTGAGAAAAGTCTCTTCTTGCAGAGGGTGAGGAATAACCCCTCTCCTTATCCCCAGGGAAAGGGCAAAGAGCCTTGGGTTTATCTTGCAGCAGGAGAGATTTATGAAACATTCAAACAGCTGCTGGTGAGGATGGTTTTCCCTTGGCCCCTGGGCTGGAGGGACCCGTGTGCCCTGTGCTGCAGTAGAAATCACCCAGGGCTGGTTCCACGGACACTTCAAGCTGAACAAAGCAAAGGCTCCCATGGAAAGGGGTGTCTGACAGCGCAGCCACCCTGCTGTGCCAGTAAGTCTCCGGGGGGCTGGGTCAGGGAACAGATCCAGCTGGAAATTAGCTCAGCCTGGGAAGCTCTGGGGAGAAGCAGGATTGCTAGAGCAGGGCTGTGCTTGGGACAGGGGTGCTGAGCAGTGGATCATGGTGAGCAGGTCCACCTCCCTGGCACACTGATCCCCAGACGGGCTGGGATCTGTCACCAGCTGAGGAAGGCAGAGTTAAGCCAGGGTCAGCTGCGCAGCCCAAGGCATGCAGGACAGAGGCATTCTTGGCTGTCCCCAGGGGTCACCTTGTCTGTGTCACCTGGCTGAGGTCACTCACTTTATCTGCAAACAGAGACTGAAGGCTACCGACCTGTTTTGGTGGGCTTTAGTTAATGTTTTGCAAACCCCCTGTTTCCAAGGATGTAAGCAGCCAAGGCACTGCAGTACATGGCCAGAAACCGATGGGACAGTGAGATGGTTTCCCGCTACCAAGAAACATCTTTTCCCAGGAATGAAGCTTTAAATTGCTTTGCTGGGAAATGAAATGCTGCATGCAGGCCGGTGTTCTAGGCTTAGCCTTAACCCGAGATGGCTCACGGAGCTCTGAAAGCACAGGACTGCCTTAGCCCCTGCCAGGACTGTGTTTGCTCCTGCGGAGGAGTCAGAGGCTGCTGAGTACGACAAAGACCTGGGCTGGAGCTTGGACAAGTGCCCTCCCCACACCACAACAGAGCAGGGACAAGTGCTCTCTTTCAGCTGCAACAAGCCAAAGGGCGCTAGACACAAATATTCCCATGGTGCTTGGAGGAAAAAGGGATGAGGCACCAACCACCTGGCAGCAGCATGGGGAAGCTGTAAGCTTTTCCCTGGAGACAGGACAGTGACGGCCCCAGGCTGGCATGGTTTACAGGCACTGGGATCCCCGACAGAGCACTGACTTGGTTTACAGTCCTCCTAAAAACAGGCAACTCTGCCATGACCCAGCCTTACCAGGAACTTGATCTTTGTTCCTTCAGGAACCACATTCAGCTGAACAGACCCACCCCAGAAGCAAACACACCAGCCTGGGGCTGGGTTGCAATATCTCTGGTGAGCCACACTCTTCCTCTCCCCGTTCTCTGGTTATTTCTAGTTCCTCTCCCCAGTCTCACTTTTTTCTTACAGCTGCAGCCTGGGAGGTGGCTCCTGCCTGTGCTGCCCTCCAGGACTACCAGTTCCCCCAGCACCAGTGAGGC